CTGTTGGGGTCCTGGTCCCCCAGTTTTAGGTCCCTGCTGTTGGGCTGCTGGTCCCCCAGGTTTGGGTCCTTGTTGAGGTCCTGGTCCACCAGGTTTGGGTCCTTGTTGTTGGGGACCAGGACCTCCAGGTTTACCTTCAGGCCCCTGTCCTTTAGGTGGACCTTGCTGAGGTGGCTTACTCCCTTGCTGCGGAGGACCCTTGCCCACTCCACTCTGTGGGCCAGGAGGCTTTCCTTCCTGCTTTGCAGGCACCTCTTCCTCATCATCACCAAACAAACTAAACTTTGGGATGCTGGCAGAGGAGACAGCAGAAGAGACCGCACTCAGGGGGTTGGCCCCACTCAAGAAGCCAGACGAGAACATGCCAGTTCGTGGTTGTTCTGGGTCTTTGGGCTCCTGCCGGAAACGTGACTCAAGGAGGCTGAGGGAGGAGGGGCTCCGTCCAGGCTTTGGCTTGGGAGGCGGCCCCTCTCCAAATGCATCTACAGTCCGACTTTTACTGAGACCTGCTGGGACTCTGGTGCCACCAGCTTGAGTCTCTGGTGGCCTGTGGAGTGAACAGACATAAGGTCAACTTCACATTCATTAGTCTCAAGCCAATATAGATTTGGAAAAATCTGTGATGAACTGAAATGTACTTTATTTACTTAATAGCTATTCTGTATAAATTACAAAAATAAATTTCAAAGGCCAATGCAAATTATTCAGACAATCAAATCAAAAGCAAAATTCATGCAGCAGAAAAATGTAAATCTAAAACTGTAAATCTAAAAAACGTAAGACAAACAAGATTGAGACATATCCACAATACATATGCAGTCTATTACTGTTGTCACTGAACAATATTTAAATAGTTTATTCATTCTTAGAGACTGCAGCAACAAAACACACAGAAGAAGTCAAAAACAATGTTAATTGTCAATATTTTAATCACAATTAAATGTGAAAGAAAAGAAATATAAAAAGGCTAACTAAGGATGTGCCAGAACTTAAAGCCACAAAAAAGGCCAAAATTAATATTATATGCCCTCAAATTATATACCAATGGTTACCTATAACCTTCATATTGTGTTCAAAAATGTAACAAACATATTTGAGTTTCCCAGTTAGGGTATTAAAGTTCCCATGCCAGAAGACTGCTCTCTTGGTTATTAGTGCTTTAATAAATAGGATTTTCCTGCAGTTGGGCTATAAGGCTATTTAGCGCATCTCAATACAGAGAGAACCCGCCTCTCATGTAAGAAGACAGAGACTGTCACAAGGCAACCTACCACCTTTCTTTTAGTGCATTTGTCCATTGTGCTCTATTTCTACAGATCTAGTAACAAAAGCCTGATGTTAGTTTTTACATCTGTAAAGTTTCTCTGGCCTTTATGTTATTCTAGTAATGCCAACTGAAGAAAAAAAGAAGTGTAATTACTTATCAAAATATGATCATTTTAATAGAATTTATTTATCAAAAATAAAGGCTAATTTAAAGTAAAATTTCTTGGTTTTTGGCCCATTTTCACCGCCAAGCGTCAATTTAATTTCAGTGCATCACTATTGTTAGCTCAGTGGCTGTTCTGCACAGCATCTTAAACGGTTAGTGGTTCTCATGGGCGTTATTTAACATATATTTGAGTGTCCTGTCATTCAGCCTCCCATAAAAGATCATCACGCCATGTCCAATATTCGTATTGTTTCTGATCGAGTGGCGCTCTTCACTTAGGCATCGCTGCAAGCGTTTCAGCACCACGGACAGCGAACAATATATAATACATGTAACTGTAACACAGTCCTTGTTATCAGGTGTAATACTACACGCACGCTCCCCAAAAATAAGCAAAAGCGATCAATGAGCATGATGGCATTTGTGCTTGCAGTGCTATATTTAGTCATATTAATATTTATACCCCCTCCCCCCATTTGCGCTTGGGTAAAAATAACAAATTTACGCCTAAGAAACTTTAAAGACACAATTCAATTAGCTTACGAATGAGATCATGTCAAATTGAATGTCGATCGCGTGCTTTCAAGTGATCGAATTTTCATAGAATTGTGTTATTCTCAGGCAGTGTTTTCCAAAGCTGCTCATGACATCACCTACACAGCCCATAGGAGGAAGATGGAGTGTGCATGGAGAACGCAACGGATATCTGGATACACAGAGGACGGATATTTGTCAGTATGGATTCATATTTTTCAAGGAAATGCTTATATTTAATTCAATCTATAACCCTGGTGTCTTGCATGGATTGAATAAGGTGGTTTAAAGAAAACTACATTCATTAAAATACTATGCCCTTCCACTGTGCACATACAGTGTCCCACCATATTAACGATGATGATACTAATTATAAAAAATGCGTTTCGTTCAAATCAGCGGCAGGTTAAACCGATATTTATAGCTATAAAACAGAAGTGCACTAAGGAGGTACTAAATTGCAACCATATGCATGGCTGAAAATTGGGCTGGATTAAATATCTCGCTATAAAACGGCCGGAAACATGCAGCAAGAGCGTGAATGGGTGTGATCATGTTTTGCATCGGTGCTGCTGTCGTGATGTGCCAACCTGCAGTGCCCTGATGATCAAAACACAAGCACATCATCGACGCGTCCAATGCAAGCGCTCCGGCACTGGAGGGACGGACATCATCATCATGATTACGGCAAACATTTATAGACACTTCAACTTGCCTGGACTGCGCTTTGGCCATAGCGGCCACAAGCTGCTTTCTTTCCTCCTCAGATAGATTACTGAGGTCTGCCTCCACCCCAGCGGGCATCTTGAAGCCACCCTTCCCATCAGGTGCGAGTCCCGCTGGTAATCCAGCGAGCGCCCCTTCGCCGCCTTCGAGGCTCGCTTCGTTCCCCATGATCGACCCCCTTTCCCTTTTAATCCCCCTCCCTCCAGCTAATTACGCGGCGATACGGCTCTTAATGTCCGGAATAAGGCGACGGCGTCGGTATCCGTGGTTGTTTTGGATGCATGGCGTTTTGTTTCTCCATTTCAGTCGAGGGTCTCTGTGGCGATAACGCGCATCCCGAGAGCAGAGCCTCTCCGCGCGGGTGTAGGTCTAGAGTTGTGCGCCTCCCTCCTCCATCTATCCATCCATCCAACGCGCATGTCCGGCCCCTCACAGGTGATCATAAAACGTCGCCGTTGGAAAAAACGGAATTAAAGGAACAAAGCGCCTTAGAATTAACAAACCTTCTAATAATTACCCTGTTTATTTTGCTTTCGAGCCGAGCCAATAATTCCCTAATTAACGAACCGATTTGGTGGAGAGCAGCTGGTTTTGTAGTAACAAAACCTGGAACACTTTGCATTACAGAAAGCATGTTACACATAGGCCTGTAAATATGTTTAATTAGGTAGTTGACAGATTACATATCCATTAAATGCTTTTTTCTAATATCAAGATTTTTTTTTGTTAATTTATAGACAGGAAAAACCTGGGCTAGTTGTTATAAATGCACTCGTTTATAATGCACTAAGATCTCATTACCTTTTAAGAAATAGTTCACACAAAATGTGAAACTTTATTGAAAATGTACTCACCCCCAGGCTATCCAAGATGTAGATTAGTTTGTTTCTTCATCAAACAGATTTGGAGAAATGTAGCATTGTATCTCTTGCATTTAGTTTGTATTATGGACTAGTATTTTGGCCACAAGTAATGGTTAGAAGTTAAAATGATGTAAAGGTGGATTTGTTTCTAATCGTTTCACAAGACATTAACTGATGGACTGGAGCTGTGTGGATTCTTTTTATGTTTTTATCAGCTGTTTGGACTGATTCTGACGGCACCCATTCACTGCTGAGGATCCACTGGTGAGCAAGTGATGTAATGCTAAATTTCTCTAAATCTTTCCTAATGGTCTTGCATGGATTGAATAAGGTGGTTTAAAGAAAACTACATTCATTAAAATACTATGCCCTTCCACTGTGCACATACAGTGTCCCACCATATTAACGATGATGATACTAATTATAAAAAATGCGTTTCGTTCAAATCAGCGGCAGGTTAAACCGATATTTATAGCTATAAAACAGAAGTGCACTAAGGAGGTACTAAATTGCAACCATATGCATGGCTGAAAATTGGGCTGGATTAAATATCTCGCTATAAAACGGCCGGAAACATGCAGCAAGAGCGTGAATGGGTGTGATCATGTTTTGCATCGGTGCTGCTGTCGTGATGTGCCAACCTGCAGTGCCCTGATGATCAAAACACAAGCACATCATCGACGCGTCCAATGCAAGCGCTCCGGCACTGGAGGGACGGACATCATCATCATGATTACGGCAAACATTTATAGACACTTCAACTTGCCTGGACTGCGCTTTGGCCATAGCGGCCACAAGCTGCTTTCTTTCCTCCTCAGATAGATTACTGAGGTCTGCCTCCACCCCAGCGGGCATCTTGAAGCCACCCTTCCCATCAGGTGCGAGTCCCGCTGGTAATCCAGCGAGCGCCCCTTCGCCGCCTTCGAGGCTCGCTTCGTTCCCCATGATCGACCCCCTTTCCCTTTTAATCCCCCTCCCTCCAGCTAATTACGCGGCGATACGGCTCTTAATGTCCGGAATAAGGCGACGGCGTCGGTATCCGTGGTTGTTTTGGATGCATGGCGTTTTGTTTCTCCATTTCAGTCGAGGGTCTCTGTGGCGATAACGCGCATCCCGAGAGCAGAGCCTCTCCGCGCGGGTGTAGGTCTAGAGTTGTGCGCCTCCCTCCTCCATCTATCCATCCATCCAACGCGCATGTCCGGCCCCTCACAGGTGATCATAAAACGTCGCCGTTGGAAAAAACGGAATTAAAGGAACAAAGCGCCTTAGAATTAACAAACCTTCTAATAATTACCCTGTTTATTTTGCTTTCGAGCCGAGCCAATAATTCCCTAATTAACGAACCGATTTGGTGGAGAGCAGCTGGTTTTGTAGTAACAAAACCTGGAACACTTTGCATTACAGAAAGCATGTTACACATAGGCCTGTAAATATGTTTAATTAGGTAGTTGACAGATTACATATCCATTAAATGCTTTTTTCTAATATCAAGATTTTTTTTTGTTAATTTATAGACAGGAAAAACCTGGGCTAGTTGTTATAAATGCACTCGTTTATAATGCACTAAGATCTCATTACCTTTTAAGAAATAGTTCACACAAAATGTGAAACTTTATTGAAAATGTACTCACCCCCAGGCTATCCAAGATGTAGATTAGTTTGTTTCTTCATCAAACAGATTTGGAGAAATGTAGCATTGTATCTCTTGCATTTAGTTTGTATTATGGACTAGTATTTTGGCCACAAGTAATGGTTAGAAGTTAAAATGATGTAAAGGTGGATTTGTTTCTAATCGTTTCACAAGACATTAACTGATGGACTGGAGCTGTGTGGATTCTTTTTATGTTTTTATCAGCTGTTTGGACTGATTCTGACGGCACCCATTCACTGCTGAGGATCCACTGGTGAGCAAGTGATGTAATGCTAAATTTCTCTAAATCTTTCCTAATGAAGACACAAAACTCATCTACATCTTGGATAGCTTTACGGTGAGTAAATTTTCATTTTTAGAAAAACTATTCTTTAAAGTTTTGAGTAAAAAGTCCAAAAATTTATGTTTTCTTTTACGGTGGCTCCAAACTAAAATGTATAAGCAGTTTCATGAGTTGTTTTGAAGTGAAAAAATCTACAATATATTAAAACTACAAACTCTGCAGCTGAACACAGTGTAACCAATCAGAGCAGAACACCAGGGGGTAACATTTTATGGTCTAAAAATGATTAGTTCTTACTTTAGGCTACTCTCACTTCCACATTATCAGCACTGTATTTGATATTGTAGCATTATTATAAGTGTTCCCTCAGCTCTTAGTACTCGAATTTATTCTTAGCTCCCTGCTCTGTTACTTTGGTGATATTTGCACCCTTTTCAAGCTGCTTTGAGAAATAATATAATGGTTAAAACTGTAAAATAAAACCGAAACAGTGCTGTACCTTTCTCTAGTTGTCTGCTTTCGTGCATAAGAGTGAATTACTTGCCGTAAGGTTTAGTCATCCAACCACTGCATAGATCACACATTCACAAACACATTCATTCACAGACTCAGTCATCCTGCTCACAGATCTTCTGCTGAATAGGAATCATGAGTCACTGCATCAATATGTCCATAAGTCATCAATATGTCCTTGGCTCACAGCTATGCCAAGGGCCTGGAGACAGAAGGAGACACTGAAGGAGTTTGTCACCAATGACTTCTACAGAGTCAGAGGGAGAATTTGCAGGGACACATTGCCCGCTTTACAGGGCTGTATGTCTCGACAGTGCCGTTTGTCCTCAAAATCAAATGTTAGAGGACACAAAACCTGTTGGTTTCACAGAGAAACAACATTGCAGAGGGTAGGTCTGAAGGCTGTAGGATTTTCATTTTGCTACAACAATAGCATGTTCTATGAATTGAAACCCATAAAGCCTCAGACATGCAACTTAATATAACAATGTCTGAGCAGCCTTGAGGAGTGACGGAAGAAAATCCTGTCTCCATTAGCAACCTTTATTGATTCCCACTTTTGTGCAGAGATAAAGCTGACTGCAGGATCACTCTCACCAGATCAACACATCACTGAGCCAGTTCTGAACAAAACATATGGGATAAAATTTGTTATCCAGGGCTGAATACATTTCCTAAAATTCTTAAACAGTTGCCAAATTAAATGCAAAAACACATTTAGTGAGTCATTCTGAACTTAGAACCCCGTGAATAGACCAAAACTGATCCGATTTTACAGGAAGTGTCCATTTTCATTGCATAATCTAATATGGAGATGTGATAATGCTAGAATCACTTCTGAAACTAAAACCAGAGGTGCTTTATCTAAAAAAAAATGTCTGAACCATAGCCTAGCTGTTAGCACACATGCATCTGACATTTTGAGCAGTAGTGATTTCCTGATCCTGCTGGCCCCTCTTCTCCCAATCATTTTAAGTGCTTTCTATAGTGTTTCATCAATAAAAATGGCAAAAAAGGCCACAGGGAAAATCCTGAACCAGCTAATTAAAGTCTTCCGGATCTCTTGAAAATTACAGACAGGTGTGTAACAGCAGGGTTGGAACCAAACACAGCAGGGGCATGACTGAGCATCCGCTTTATTTTTAGCTATGGTTTTAACAGTGCAACAGCTCCATACCGGAAACCAATTAGGCAAAGAAAATGAATGCTTACTGTAAAAATCTGATCCATGATTTGTCCATTTACAGGGTTACACCAATCAACACGCTTAATCATTGAATGTATGTGTTATTTTAGTATTTATTTATATACTATTATTATATGTAAATGTATTCATATTTTGAATTAGCTTCGGACTTGTAACCCGAAGGTCGCAGGTTCGAGTCTCAGGTTCGGCAGGGATTGTAGGGGGGGGGGGGGCAAGGCACCGAACCCCCAACTGCTCCCTGGGTGCTGAAGCATTGGCTGCCCACTGCTCCGGGTGTGTGTTCATGGTGTGTGTGTGTGTGTGTGTGTGCGTGTTTCACTACTCACTGCTGTGTGTGTGCACTTGGATGGTTTAAATGCAGTGCACAAATTCACACGTCACGTCCTTTCCTTTTCCTTTCCTTTTATTTTTATATTTTCAGTTTTTATTTAAATTTAAGTTTTAACACATTTTGATTTTAGTAATTTTAGTACTTCAACTTATTTTATTTCAATTAGTTGCCAGAAATGAAAAAAACTTTAGTTTTTTACTTTAGTTACCAAAAACAACACTGGTATCACTCTTTCATGTCTACTGCACACACTTCTGCAAGATCTGGCCTTTTCATTCAAGGCTCAGACACCAGGCAGTCATGCTACTCCATGCATTTCATACCTATAAGGATCTCAGATTCCTCTAATGCAGTTTCCGGCTTCCTTTTAACTATTACGTGTTATCCTCTCCACCCTGTTTAACATCAGAGTGACGGCTGTGTGATGTGACAGTGGAGGCTTATTCAGCCCAGTCCACAGCTCCAGGGGGAATTCGTCCTTGCGTGACCAGCTGTTGTCCCTGGGCTATATCGAGGAGATGGACTCTTATCAAGATCCACAGATGCTCTAACCATCTCCACACATCAATTAACCAGATCAAACGGCATTAGCAGTAAGTTAAGCTCTCTATCATGACTATCTGCTGTTGGCAGTGGCACCACAATCAGGATAAA